CTCAGCGGCCCAGGGAGCAGGCTGAGTCAGGACGATCTCGTAACACCTTGCTCCTGGCACGCCCCCTCCATGTGCAGACACAGGAAGCACCTGCGAGAGAAACATCGAACTCTTCAGCAACAGCAAAACCATCCCTGTGCCACCACTCAGGAACAGATGAAGTATAGCTCTTGGTGTCCCCAGGCCCCCAAGGACACCAAACTGCAAGGGTGCTCAGATCCCTTCTGAAAAGTGTCATGCCCTCTACATAGACCCAGACTCCCACCCCTGAGCAACGGCACTTTCCTGTGTGTGTGGAATATTACGGAGCCACGAACATGGCCATAAAATCCCAGCCCAGGGAGAGGTTATAGAAAATGTGCATGACTTGGGGGGAAAAAAGGACATAGTGCTAATAAAGGCCCTGTGAAAGCAACTCCGCCACAAGCCACACCCACTCAAGACCCAAGAGCTCGGGTGGGGACAGGCAGAAGCTGCAAGGTAGAAGTTTTGCTTGTTTCCCTGGGTGGCATCCGCCCCAGCGCCTGCTCCTGTGCTCATGTTGGCCTTGTGGTGTCCAGAAGGGGCAGGAAGCTGCCCGGGTACCCAGGGGTGACTGTGTGGCCCTGCCCCCCCCGCCCAGGGCTGTGGCTGAGATGTACAGTTGGGGCTGCAGGGTGACACTCTGGGAAGACAGACTCATCAGCCCCAGCCCCGCTGTATGTCTGTCACTGACCCGGGACCCCCATTGACACCTGGAAGAAGGCTTTCTCTTTTGTTGTTTTTTGGTACCGCTGATCGAACTCGGGACCTTGCGCTTTCGAGGCAGGGGGCAGCACCACTGAGCTACATTCCTGGCCCAGGAAGGTGGAGATTCTCCATCTTCAAGTTGAGACCCTGGAAGGGTGGAGCAGACTGGCGGCTACATTTCAAATCTCCAGGAGAAGCTGGCATGGGAAGGGCGCACACCTGTCATCCCAGCACTCAGGAGGCTGAGGCAGGAGGATCAGTGAGTTCCGGGCCAGCCCGGATCGCATGATGAGACCG